AAGACGGCATTTAAAGCAATTATAGACATAAATATCTAAGTCAGAAGAAGCCAAATTATTTATCGCATAGTATATTTTATATAATTTTCGATGTTTTATTGAGGTCGTCTCACAATTTTTCCCTAATCATAAGCGCTGATAAAGTATAAATTTAAGATATCCTATTCATCCTATTAAAATAATAAATATTAAAGAAAATTAAATATTAATATTTAAAAATCATTTCACTTTTTTCTATAAAGTGGCATCACTTTAACAGATGATAAAAATTTTCTAAAATAGCAAACTACAGTTTTTACACGTTAGTAGAATGAAAATTCGAGTTCATAATTTGAAAAACTAATTTCTAAAACACTTTTAATTATGGTAGTTTTATCCTAGTTTAAATTTTTAATTCGGAGTTTTAATTATATAGATTTTTAATTTAAATGCCGTAAAACATTTTAAAAATTAAAATCTCGATTGCGAAAATCCTTGTATCATAATATACTTACCTTCCATTTACGATGATAAAATTAATATCAAAATTGGACAATAAATCTTAAGTTTAGTGTGAAATGAATATTTTATTTTGAATAATTATACAGAGAAACTAAGCCAATATAAATATTCAAAGTATAATTTCACGATTTTCGTAATGTTAGTTAGAATGATTACAGAAGCGTTAATAAATTTTTACCGTCTATCACAGAACGATGGAGATTTATTTCTTTAAAAGGAAAAATCGAACTTTTTATCCATCTATCAACTACATTTTATTACTTTTTTATTAACTTATTTTACAGAAAATGAAAAAATAACTTTTTCAAAAGAGAATTCAGTCAAATACTTTCTAAAACGTATTCAAAAATCAAACTTTAGTTTGATAAATAAAAAAAACCACACAAATAAAAGATATTGAAAATTAGCTCAGATTATTTTCTATCTATTACAGTTTCTGCGATTATATTAAGACATACCCAATAACAAACTTGACTTTTTAATCTTATCGCTAGAGACAGAACAAAAAAAAAAGAAAAAAAAGAGATAATAATAGCAATCGAACGTGTGATCCTCTTTGAATAGTAGATATTCAAGCACGCAGGCTAAATGATATTCTAGTCAAGTAGCAAACCACCGATTTGCCATAAGAGTCCTTCTGGGGTTAAAATAGATATTAATTTATTAGCAGTAGTAATTTTTATTAATAAAAAATTAACGCTTACTTTCTCCGACAGACAAAACTATGTAGACTACGAAGGATACACAAACACCAGAGAAAAATAAATGTAGCAATTTATTTCTAGATAATAAATTATGCTGCTGATCTATAAATGATTTTATCCAGTTTTTAATTTGTTTATGATAATTTTAAAGTACGAAAAATTAATAAATATATTAGTGAAAGATACAAAATATGCACATATTAACAATATATAGGCCATTACAAGAAATGAATTTTATAAGCTCTTTTAATATATTTTAAGCGTCAAGCTATGCTGTGTTTTCTAAATAATTACTTTTACCCTATTATATATAAACTTATTGTACAGTAAATATAATTGTTTGGTAATTAAGTAGACTACTAATTGTGTACATGGAAATATAATGGTTATAAAGTATTGTTAGTGAAATAATATACACAAATACAGCAGATATCGATGTAAATAAGTATATAATTTAATATTACAAATTAATTTTATACATATATAATCTTCAATGTTGAATCTTAATAAATAATATTCTGATACTTATAAATTTTATGGTTAAATTCTTGTATTTTGGTGCTTGAAATATTTGGCTAAATGCAGTGATGAATAGAAAGGTAGCTATAAGTTGAAAATCCCTTGAGCTTTTCTATCTATGAGAATCTCTGCCCGGAGCATTAATTTTTGATACAGTATTAGAATATTTAATTAGAATTTCTTTAACTCGATAACTTTTTTGACAAAGATTTTAAAATTCACTATTTCCTCTTTCAACCAGTTTCTTTCCATTCAACTCTTAGCTTCTAGTTATTGTGAGTTGACTGTATAACAAATTTACTTAAGTTTTATTGATCAATATAGGAAATTTGAAAATTAAATAAACTACTCGCTTAAATTATTAAATTATTTTGAATGGACATTTTTTTAAGAACTAGTGATCAATTAATATTGATCGCATTTTTACTTTTTAATTTGCATCAATTCGTGCGGGACAATTTTACGTGATAAATTAAAAACGTTTTAAAATCAAATTACATTCAGTAATATACAAAAGGTTATAAAGATTAATTTATATATTACTGCAAATTCGCTTTCAAATGTTAACTTGTTAGTTAATTAAAAGCGCTGAACAGATAACTAATAATAAATTTTAAAGTATACACGGAGCTACTATAATTATTGTATTTTTAATTAATCACTTATTACTGTAATAATAAATTAAAATTATAAACTAACAAAGACCATACAAATATTACATAATGGAGAAAACGCAGAGAGCTTTAATAAAAGTCAAACATAAACATTCTAAATTTTATAGAAAACACTTTATGAATATGATTTTTAAAACGTAAAAAATATATATAATTTCGAATAAATACACACATTATACACATATTGTAAAGTTTTGTTTTGTATATAATTTTATAAAAATAAAAATAATTAATTTTTTGGACTGTAGATGATAATTTTAGTTAAATATAATAAATTATACCCTCAAACATTATTTTATGTATAATATAAAATAAAACATTACTATAACCAATTTTTCAATTTTTATTCCATTACAAATATCTTACATTTAATATTTTCAAATAGAGTAAAACAAAAATTTAAAACTAATAAGTCAGAAACTGTTGAAAGCAATTTACTTTAACTAAATGCTATTTTATAAGATTTCCTGATGTCTCCCGTTCTCTGTCTTGGTGCTGTCCATTTCTAGTCCAATAGTATAGAGGATTTTGTTGTTTCATTCCCGTATTTGACTGCTTCTGCCTTGTCCAATAACATACTCAATTGTTTTGTTAGAATCCTATTAATCTCTATACAATCCAATAACTTTTCGCCATTAACTTTTTATTACCAGTTCAACACCGGTACAATTTTAATGATATTTTAAACTTTTTCCCTTCGTATCAGATTCTAAAATTTATGTTAAACGTTAATATAGAAATTTTATTCACTAGTACAAAAAATAGGATTAAAATTTAATTTTAGTACATCGAGAAATTATTCAGTCTATTCATTCATTTTTGATGATTAAAAATACTGCAAAAATATATTGAATATTCTATTATAAATTTAAGTTTTAAGTAATGAATGCTATAAATTATAATTGGAAAAATTATGTTTCAAATCATAAATGCAAATTTATACGCGTAATTCTCATAGAGAATATTAATTATATATAAGTTATAGATAATTATTACGATCGAAAATATACGACTGGAGAGAAAAACATTAACATAAAAAAAAACCTTCACTTTTTTTTTTGTCTTGTAAAGTCTTGAGATCAGCAATTTTCGGCAAGCTATGGCCAATTACTCTCAATCTCGATCTTTGAAAGCTTTTCGCCCGGAGACTACTACTATCAAGTAAAACTTTAGCCAATTGATACAGGTAAACTTCTAACACAAAAAGATTTTTAAAAGAAAATGTCTAGTTGAATATATTTTTGACGACGATTTTTGTATGGCTACAATGCAAATATTTACTATTTAAAATCTATTCATCGCTGTTGCATGTCAAACGAAATTAATTTTTATCCAATGTTTTAATAAAGATAAAAAATTTACAATAGTAATAATATATTTTTTTATTCATTTTTTTGTTTGCAAAAACTGAAATAAAGGCTTTATGATTTTAAAATATACATACATTTAAAAAAATATAATCTGCAGTTAGCACTTTATAAAAATTTATAACGCTACAACACTTAAAAATTAAAAAAAAATTGAATTTTTGTACGAAGATCGTTTACAAACGACGTAATGAAAGCTCTAAGTCGACAATTATAGTACATCAACAAATTGGCATTAAAAGGTCAGAACGTGTTATCTCCGATGGCCTTTACTCTCGTACCTAGTGAAAGCAGAATGAATGAGAAAGGCTGTTAACACGTTAGAAAGGGAAAAGCTGGCATTCCCAGTTCACAATACAATGGTATGGATCTAGTTTTTAATAGGGACCTTAGTAATTTATAAAGAGATAGATATAAAGAAAATAGGCTAGATTATCTTATTAATCCTTTATATCTTAAAAAATAAATTGAAGAAAGGTTCTGGTAATTATTCGAGATATTTTTCAAGCTCGACTTTAGTTTCGCACAGTTTTTAATTTTTGGAAAGACTAACATTTCTGTGATTCGAAAACACCGTACAAGTTTATACATACAATATTTATTACAATTATTATTGTTGTTTAATTTTTAAATTTCTATAGCCTATATCCGTACGAAAAAGTATAAAGACGTAAAAGCCTAAGTTTTTTAAAATAATTTCGTTAGAATTTATATTTTTACGATATCTATTAATGTTTTTAGTTTTAAAATTATTTTATTTATCAACCTTTTATTTTTAGTTCAATATATTATGACGATATGAACTTTCCTTACATCGAGAAACACAATAATTCGAATTCGAGCCGAACTAAATTCTTCTAATATTTTTTTTATTTTATTGTTTTTAATAGTTCCGGTCAGAATATCGTTCTCGATCCCTCACAACTTTGACCGACCTTACTACTGGTCAAGACCGTCCATAATTTACCGATTTTAGGCAGGCCGTCTAGCTGATATTGTGTGCATTGTTTCGCGAGAAAAGTAAGATATAATCTGACATTTTCATNAAAAAAAATTATAAGTTTCCTCTCTTCGAACGGGAAAAAAGAACTCTTAATTTTTTTACCCTATGATTAGTTGTCACAGTTATTAATTAAAAACTATCTACTTAAATTAAAATACCGCTAATCCTTATCGTATTGAACAAACCAAGAATTACAGATAAATTTAAGCTTATTTTATGGAAATAAACCTACCTTTTATTCTAGTGATAGCGTCTCTTTAAGGCTAGCTCAAAAGTAACCTGAAAGAATAATCAAAATTACTTTCTTAATATATGCCAAAAATTATAATTATAAAAAATCTTTAAAGAATATTATATGAAACATCCTCATAGCTGAACCCTGACATTTACACAGAATTAATTACAGTAGAAAACCGCGTCGCGAACCAAGCGTTTAACTATCCATTAACTATCATGAATTATTCAACAGAGCGACAGGAATGTCGTCTCCCACGCACAACTGATTCCTTCTTCGTTATCGATGAATGGGATCGACCAAGAAAAGAAATACACTATGTATTAGAATGTAAAAAAGAAATCTGATCTGACACGTACTATGACGTAACAGCGTTCTTCTAGTCTTGTTAACGTGAACGATTCCAAATAGCACAAACACACTAACTACTAACAGTAACAGATAGGCCACTTACTCTCGTTAAAGATTACAGAGTAAATTGTCTCCTCCGATACATTTCGAACTTTTAAATTTTCGACAACATTTAAGTTTAAATTACGTAAAACTCGCTTCATAAATTTTTTCGTATTAATCTATTATTTTTATATATCGCCTGCAATAAACGCTATAACTCTATATATTGCAATTAAATACTAAAAAACTAAAATTCTATCCAACTTGATTTCATTTCTTGCAATGCAATATATTTACTTGTATCTTACCTTAATAATTATATATTTTAACATAGATTAGACTTCTATAGACAGATCAAAATTTCTTTATATAGTACGATGCATTTTTAAACAACATAGAGATGATAAAAACATATGTTTAATTATCACATTAGTAATCAAATCTAATCACTGCACAGTAAATTTTCGCATAAAACAATCCGAACATTAAATATTTGCGCTTAATAATCCATATAAAACACGATCTTTACGAAATCAAATCAGAGAAGTTACACTGTAACTTTTCAGACTAGCTTGCTGCATACGTACTAAATATATTTTTAATTTAAAATTTTGTTTTAAAAATAAAGTAATATAAAATAATTTTATATTAATTCATAAATTTAAGAATTAGTATTATTGTTTCCTTAAAAATATAAACATTAAAGCGGAAAAGTCGTAATTGTGATACAGTTGACATTTGATGAAACTATCGCTTTCCTTTAAGAAAGAACAAAATTAAAAGTTTGTTGTTCGAAATTTCCGAAAATAAATGCAGTGACAACTTGAATTCTATAAATAAAAAAAAAAAAAAGTGCGTTGATAGCGAATATTTCCTTTAAAAATCCTTTAATATTTTAGGTTTTGATACAGTCTGAAGAGACTTATTTACGTTCTTGTAACTATGTTCGATGGCAAGATAGAGTATGCATTAAAAACACATGTAAAGCAGGCACAGCGGGAAATTTTCTTCTCCAATGGAAAAATCTATTCCCGCCTAATGTTTAATGAGAAATGTTTTAATATATTTTATCAATGACAGTCAGCATATTACTTATTAATGCATTTCCACTACAAATGGATGCATTTATGGATTAGATCTGTCCGAGTTCATTTTGTAAAGAACAATGATATTAAAAATTTTGTAAATCGCGAAAGTGCAAAGTATTTGTTCTATTTTATCAAAATAAATATAAATATTGGTCGTATAATAATTTCAAATTTTGATATATTTATAAACAATTATTCATAAACATTTTATCGAGTCATTTCATCATTATCAAGTTAACTTTAATAACTACTATTTAGTTTCTTTTCCTTTTATAACCTAACGATGTCATTATAAACAATTACAACATTAATTTAGTAGAATTAAATAACTTGAGAATTGTAAAGGCAATATAAGGACTTTTTCCCTCTCCATCACGCATTATTGTTATTTTATATTCTGCATTTTCTGTGCTAAGCAAACTATAGTAAATTGTCGTAGTAAATTTCGATGAAACTTCTGTTATATCTAGAAACTGTTAAAGAAAATCAGTTTGTTGAAAATCGGCACATTGTCTCCAGTTCTCTAATATGATCAAAACTGAATGCAATGATTTTGACAGATATGATATGCGGTTTATATAGCCCGAGGCTTTGTAAGATCGAGGTTATTGGAGATTATACACAAGATCAATACACTTTGCGGCAACTCTCGGTAGAATATAATCTTAAACATTATTTTTATTTAAAGATTTTATTATATTCATGTAAAATTCAATTATAAATCAGAGATTTGGATACAAATATAGCGTTTATCCGCTCAGTCCCTTAATTCTTAATAGCGGTCATTAAGTATTTATTCATCTTTTATATTTAAACAAACTTAGCCTGTAGGAACGGTTTGCCAACAAAATGGTTCAATCAGACCAATGATATCAACAAACTTGTAACTCTCCAACAAGATAGCATCTCGAAATTTTCTCTTAGATTTTCTTAACATATCAATAATTATATGAAGTGTAATTTGTAAACAATGATATAACTGTGTAATAAATACTGTTTGTAAATACAACATAATATTCTATTTAAAAAACAATACATTTTTTGCTAAAAAAATGTAATGTTCAACTATAGACTAAAGTTGATCATCCTTTACAATAAATTTTCTTTATTCACTAATGATTAAGTTTTGAGCACTTGATATGCTAGGTAAACTTTTAATGTATGCAACTAAATTACAATAAGTCTAACATGGATTAAATTCATTAAATATCATTCCATTGACTAAGTTAATTAAATCACAATAAGAATTATGCCTTCAAATTTGAATAGAAATATAAATTAATATATATTTTATTAAATATTGCTAAAATTTTTCGGTTTATTTGAATCCCTAATCAGTCTATTTCTGATTTGTTACTTATTATCATATATTTTTCTTCAAGAATGATCATTGATAATATTTACCGAAGATATTCTATTCAATTGAAAATTACCAATTTTAATATTCACGCTGAGATGACTATGTTCACAACTGTAATCTGTTTGTTACTTTCATTGGCAAGACGGCATTTAAAGCAATTATAGACATAAATATCTAAGTCAGAAGAAGCCAAATTATTTATCGCATAGTATATTTTATATAATTTTCGATGTTTTATTGAGGTCGTCTCACAATTTTTCCCTAATCATAAGCGCTGATAAAGTATAAATTTAAGATATCCTATTCATCCTATTAAAATAATAAATATTAAAGAAAATTAAATATTAATATTTAAAAATCATTTCACTTTTTTCTATAAAGTGGCATCACTTTAACAGATGATAAAAATTTTCTAAAATAGCAAACTACAGTTTTTACACGTTAGTAGAATGAAAATTCGAGTTCATAATTTGAAAAACTAATTTCTAAAACACTTTTAATTATGGTAGTTTTATCCTAGTTTAAATTTTTAATTCGGAGTTTTAATTATATAGATTTTTAATTTAAATGCCGTAAAACATTTTAAAAATTAAAATCTCGATTGCGAAAATCCTTGTATCATAATATACTTACCTTCCATTTACGATGATAAAATTAATATCAAAATTGGACAATAAATCTTAAGTTTAGTGTGAAATGAATATTTTATTTTGAATAATTATACAGAGAAACTAAGCCAATATAAATATTCAAAGTATAATTTCACGATTTTCGTAATGTTAGTTAGAATGATTACAGAAGCGTTAATAAATTTTTACCGTCTATCACAGAACGATGGAGATTTATTTCTTTAAAAGGAAAAATCGAACTTTTTATCCATCTATCAACTACATTTTATTACTTTTTTATTAACTTATTTTACAGAAAATGAAAAAATAACTTTTTCAAAAGAGAATTCAGTCAAATACTTTCTAAAACGTATTCAAAAATCAAACTTTAGTTTGATAAATAAAAAAAACCACACAAATAAAAGATATTGAAAATTAGCTCAGATTATTTTCTATCTATTACAGTTTCTGCGATTATATTAAGACATACCCAATAACAAACTTGACTTTTTAATCTTATCGCTAGAGACAGAACAAAAAAAAAAAAGAAAAAAAAGAGATAATAATAGCAATCGAACGTGTGATCCTCTTTGAATAGTAGATATTCAAGCACGCAGGCTAAATGATATTCTAGTCAAGTAGCAAACCACCGATTTGCCATAAGAGTCCTTCTGGGGTTAAAATAGATATTAATTTATTAGCAGTAGTAATTTTTATTAATAAAAAATTAACGCTTACTTTCTCCGACAGACAAAACTATGTAGACTACGAAGGATACACAAACACCAGAGAAAAATAAATGTAGCAATTTATTTCTAGATAATAAATTATGCTGCTGATCTATAAATGATTTTATCCAGTTTTTAATTTGTTTATGATAATTTTAAAGTACGAAAAATTAATAAATATATTAGTGAAAGATACAAAATATGCACATATTAACAATATATAGGCCATTACAAGAAATGAATTTTATAAGCTCTTTTAATATATTTTAAGCGTCAAGCTATGCTGTGTTTTCTAAATAATTACTTTTACCCTATTATATATAAACTTATTGTACAGTAAATATAATTGTTTGGTAATTAAGTAGACTACTAATTGTGTACATGGAAATATAATGGTTATAAAGTATTGTTAGTGAAATAATATACACAAATACAGCAGATATCGATGTAAATAAGTATATAATTTAATATTACAAATTAATTTTATACATATATAATCTTCAATGTTGAATCTTAATAAATAATATTCTGATACTTATAAATTTTATGGTTAAATTCTTGTATTTTGGTGCTTGAAATATTTGGCTAAATGCAGTGATGAATAGAAAGGTAGCTATAAGTTGAAAATCCCTTGAGCTTTTCTATCTATGAGAATCTCTGCCCGGAGCATTAATTTTTGATACAGTATTAGAATATTTAATTAGAATTTCTTTAACTCGATAACTTTTTTGACAAAGATTTTAAAATTCACTATTTCCTCTTTCAACCAGTTTCTTTCCATTCAACTCTTAGCTTCTAGTTATTGTGAGTTGACTGTATAACAAATTTACTTAAGTTTTATTGATCAATATAGGAAATTTGAAAATT